GGCTGAAGTCACTTCAACAAGTACAGAACCTAGCACGACAAGTGAAACCAGCGCAACAACAAGCAGTACTGAAGCCAGCACAACAGCTACAGAAAGCACCACAGCTCTTCCAACAACTGTAAGCAGCACAAGTGAAGCCAGCACCTCTACAACTCAAGCTACATTGACATCCACAGTTGCAGACACAACAACCTCAACACTAGGCAGCACGGAGTCCTCCACTGTCAGTAGCTCTACGGCTGAAGTCACTTCAACAAGTACAGAACCTAGCACGACAAGTGAAACCAGCGCAACAACAAGCAGTACTGAAGCCAGCACAACAGCTACAGAAAGCACCACAGCTCTTCCAACAACTGTAAGCAGCACAAGTGAAGCCAGCACCTCTACAACTCAAGCTACACTAACATCCACAGTTGCAGACACAACAACCTCAACACTAGGCAGCACGGAGTCCTCCACTGTCAGTAGCTCTACGGCTGAAGTCACTTCAACAAGTACAGAACCTAGCACGACAAGTGAAACCAGCGCAACAACAAGCAGTACTGAAGCCAGCACAACAGCTACAGAAAGCACCACAGCTGTTCCAACAACTGTAAGCAGAACAAGTGAAGCCAGCACCTCTACAACTCAAGCTACATTGACATCCACAGTTGCAGACACAACCTCAAGACTAGGCAGCACGGAGTCCTCCACTGTCAGTAGCTCTACCGCTGAAGTCACTTCAACAAGTACAGAACCTAGCACGACAAGTGAAACCAGCGCAACAACAAGCAGTACTGAAGCCAGCACAACAGCTACAGAAAGCACCACAGCTCTTCCAACAACTGTAAGCAGCACAAGTGAAGCCAGCACCTCTACAACTCAAGCTACATTGACATCCACAGTTGCAGACACAACAACCTCAACACTAGGCAGCACGGAGTCCTCCACTGTCAGTAGCTCTACGGCTGAAGTCACTTCAACAAGTACAGAACCTAGCACGACAAGTGAAACCAGCGCAACAACAAGCAGTACTGAAGCCAGCACAACAGCTACAGAAAGCACCACAGCTGTTCCAACAACTGTAAGCAGCACAAGTGAAGCCAGCACCTCTACAACTCAAGCTACATTGACATCCACAGTTGCAGACACAACAACCTCAACACTAGGCAGCACGGAGTCCTCCACTGTCATTAGCTCTACGGCTGAAGTCACTTCAACAAGTACAGAACCTAGCACGACAAGTGAAACCAGCGCAACAACAAGCAGTACTGAAGTCAGCACAACAGCTACAGAAAGCACCACAGCTCTTCCAACAACTGTAAGCAGCACAAGTGAAGCCAGCACCTCTACAACTCAAGCTACATTGACATCCACAGTTGCAGACACAACAACCTCAACACTAGGCAGCACGGAGTCCTCCACTGTCAGTAGCTCTACGGCTGAAGTCACTTCAACAAGTACAGAACCTAGCACGACAAGTAAAACCAGCGCAACAACAAGCAGTACTGAAGCCAGCACAACAGCTACAGAAAGCACCACAGCTCTTCCAACAACTGTAAGCAGCACAAGTGAAGCCAGCACCTCTACAACTCAAGCTACATTGACATCCACAGTTGCAGACACAACAACCTCAACACTAGGCAGCACGGAGTCCTCCACTGTCAGTAGCTCTACGGCTGAAGTCACTTCAACAAGTACAGAACCTAGCACGACAAGTGAAACCAGCGCAACAACAAGCAGTACTGAAGCCAGCACAACAGCTACAGAAAGCACCACAGCTCTTCCAACAACTGTAAGCAGCATAAGTGAAGCCAGCACCTCTACAACTCAAGCTACATTGACATCCACAGTTGCAGACACAACAACCTCAACACTAGGCAGCACGGAGTCCTCCACTGTCAGTAGCTCTACCGCTGAAGTCACTTCAACAAGTACAGAACCTAGCACGACAAGTGAAACCAGCGCAACAACAAGCAGTACTGAAGCCAGCACAACAGCTACAGAAAGCACCACAGCTGTTCCAACAACTGTAAGCAGCACAAGTGAAGCCAGCACCTCTACAACTCAAGCTACATTGACATCCACAGTTGCAGACACAACAACCTCAACACTAGGCAGCACGGAGTCCTCCACTGTCAGTAGCTCTACCGCTGAAGTCACTTCAACAAGTACAGAACCTAGCACGACAAGTGAAACCAGCGCAACAACAAGCAGTACTGCAGCCAGCACAACAGCTACAGAAAGCACCACAGCTGTTTCAACAACTGTAAGCAGCACAAGTGAAGCCAGCACCTCTACAACTCAAGCTACATTGACATCCACAGTTGCAGACACAACAACCTCAACACTAGGCAGCACGGAGTCCTCCATTGTCAGTAGCTCTACCGCTGAAGTCACTTCAACAAGTACAGAACCTAGCACGACAAGTGAAACCAGCGCAACAACAAGCAGTAATGAAGCCAGCACAACAGCTACAGAAAGCACCACAGCTGTTCCAACAACTGTAAGCAGCACAAGTGAAGCCAGCACCTCTACAACTCAAGCTACATTGACATCCACAGTTGCAGACACAACAACCTCAACACTAGGCAGCACGGAGTCCTCCAATGTCAGTAGCTCTACCGCTGAAGTCACTTCAACAAGTACAGAACCTAGCACGACAAGTGAAACCAGCGCAACAACAAGCAGTACTGAAGCCAGCACAACAGCTACAGAAAGCACCACAGCTCTTCCAACAACTGTAAGCAGCACAAGTGAAGCCAGCACCTCTACAACTCAAGCTACATTGACATCCACAGTTGCAGACACAACAACCTCAACACTAGGCAGCACGGAGTCCTCCACTGTCAGTAGCTCTACGGCTGAAGTCACTTCAACAAGTACAGAACCTAGCACGACATGTGAAACCAGCGCAACAACAAGCAGTACTGAAGCCAGCACAACAGCTACAGAAAGCACCACAGCTCTTCCAACAACTGTAAGCAGCACAAGTGAAGCCAGCACCTCTACAACTCAAGCTACATTGACATCCACAGTTGCAGACACAACAACCTCAACACTAGGCAGCACGGAGTCCTCCACTGTCAGTAGCTCTACGGCTGAAGTCACTTCAACAAGTACAGAACCTAGCACGACAAGTGAAACCAGCGCAACAACAAGCAGTACTGAAGCCAGCACAACAGCTACAGAAAGCACCACAGCTCTTCCAACAACTGTAAGCAGCACAAGTGAAGCCAGCACCTCTACAACTCAAGCTACATTGACATCCACAGTTGCAGACACAACAACCTCAAGACTAGGCAGCACGGAGTCCTCCACTGTCAGTAGCTCTACCGCTGAAGTCACTTCAACAAGTACAGAACCTAGCACGACAAGTGAAACCAGCGCAACAACAAGCAGTACTGAAGCCAGCACAACAGCTACAGAAAGCACCACAGCTGTTCCAACAACTGTAAGCAGCACAAGTGAAGCCAGCACCTCTACAACTCAAGCTACATTGACATCCACAGTTGCAGACACAACAACCTCAACACTAGGCAGCACGGAGTCCTCCACTGTCAGTAGCTCTACCGCTGAAGTCACTTCAACAAGTACAGAACCTAGCACGACAAGTGAAACCAGCGCAACAACAAGCAGTACTGAAGCCAGCACAACAGCTACAGAAAGCACCACAGCTCTTCCAACAACTGTAAGCAGCACAAGTGAAGCCAGCACCTCTACAACTCAAGCTACATTGACATCCACAGTTGCAGACACAACAACCTCAACACTAGGCAGCACGGAGTCCTCCATTGTCAGTAGCTCTACCGCTGAAGTCACTTCAACAAGTACAGAACCTAGCACGACAAGTGAAACCAGCGCAACAACAAGCAGTACTGAAGCCAGCACAACAGCTACAGAAAGCACCACAGCTCTTCCAACAACTGTAAGCAGCACAAGTGAAGCCAGCACCTCTACAACTCAAGCTACATTGACATCCACAGTTGCAGACACAACAACCTCAAGACTAGGCAGCACGGAGTCCTCCACTGTCAGTAGCTCTACCGCTGAAGTCACTTCAACAAGTACAGAACCTAGCACGACAAGTGAAACCAGCGCAACAACAAGCAGTACTGAAGCCAGCACAACAGCTACAGAAAGCACCACAGCTCTTCCAACAACTGTAAGCAGCACAAGTGAAGCCAGCACCTCTACAACTCAAGCTACATTGACATCCACAGTTGCAGACACAACAACCTCAACACTAGGCAGCACGGAGTCCTCCACTGTCACTAGCTCTACCGCTGAAGTCACTTCAACAAGTACAGAACCTAGCACGACAAGTGAAACCAGCGCAACAACAAGCAGTATTGAATCCAGCACAACAGGTATAGAATCTCACAGTCGTTCCAACAACTCTAATATTTGCAAAATATTTGCAGTCAACACTTTTACAACTTAATATATTTCTATATCTTTACATTTTTCCACACTTCAAATTCTGCTGGAGAAAGCGATTTTACAATAAATCCATTATCGTTCAACATATATCTTCTGAATATTTACGGCACGTATTTTGTGATGAGTTGTGTAGAATTTATCGGTATATTTTAACCTCTTTGATAAACATTTTTCACGTATATTTTTGACTTATGCAACTGCATGAATCTATAGAAGAAATAATTTTAACAACTTTTATATGCAACCTAGAAAAGAATTCTGTTTAATATCGCATCTCTATGAAATTTACAATTTTTTTTTTAACCTTTATTGAAAATTTGAAATGTATTTATGTATCACTAATTATAGCGTAGTAAGCTTGTAACAAGTTCTCTTTTTTTGCATTTTTGACATTGTCCTTTAAATAAAAAACTTTATCTACTTTTCAAATCAGGTTAAGTATAAGTGTGCATGTTGAGAATATTTTCATACAAAATATTGAGTGATTGTGTCATATCTAAATTTAAAATATCACTTCTTAACTGTAAAGATACTGTATTTTCTTGCAAGTTAAAAGCACTCTATGTATTTTATGACAGGAACGACAACAACAGATACATCAAGAAGCAGCTCTACTGGATTTACAGAAACAACAATAACGGATGCGATTACTCCGAGCACAACTATAGGATCTTTAACTACTATGTCAACATCAGGTACCATCTTTTCATTGAAAGCTAAATATAGCTTTTTAAACGTGTAGTTTATACTGGAAACATGTTAGACTGTACTTTTGATAGTATACACACATCTCCCTCTCTCTCTCTCTCTCATTTGTCAGTTTTATTTATTACTTTTTTTAGAATATGAATCAATATTATTATATAGATTCTACTACGTTACTACCGTTTGGATCAATGGCAGGAGATGTAGAAGGTGGAGCGGGTGACGACCTTTTGGTTGCTGTCCTCAACAACCCAGTGGGAATTACGTGTGATTGCGTAGTTTCCAACAGAATTTTTGTGAGTATCAATGAAAATTAACCCTGGCAATGACGATGCATTCAGGAGACCAATTCGGTGCCAAATGAACCAGTCTTGATCTTCTACTTGTTCTTTTAAAATCTGAGATGACTCAGAATCATACTGCAGCTACATGCTTAGCTCTTCGTTCAAAATACATGCTTAAAGATACTTGGTCACCAGTGAGATTAAATAATAGTATTGGAAATGTTTAACATCTCTGGAACGCAGATTGATTTAGCTAGACATAAAGTCGTGAACTATATAGACTAAATTACTCATCACCATATACGAGGATTGTTCGGAAAGTTCATGGACTACTGTCATAACTTTTTTACTTAACGTCATATTATGTCCAAATTTGGTAGAAATATTTCAACAAAAACTTCAAATGACGTATAAAAAAATTTAAAATATCGTGATTTATTTCAAACTTATTTCGAGTTTTAAAAAAATGCGAAAATCGGATCGCACCGCAGGTCAAAATTTCATAATTTACAATCAATACACAAAATAATGTATGTAGTCACAACCACTGTACAAACAAAAAAAAAGTTCAATTTAAGAACTGTTACATTGTTTCATATTCCAAATTATGACTTAATATCTTGCTTCGTTGAAAAGAACTCAATTTCAGAAGATAGGCAGTCCTCATTGAAAAGGGCAAAAAAGATGTCGTAGAACGTCACGGAGCAGCAGTTAACGATGCAGTTTTGTTTTGTTGAGGATCTGTAAAGAAACGGATTATCTGTAAAAATCTGTTCAAAAACTATAAAAAGTTAGTATGGTCATCATGAGATTTAGGCGGTTCACAGGTGCTGATCTTGTGAAAGCACAGTTACGCAACAACAAAAATATAACATTGACAAATAAAATTATGCTACTGGAACAAATGTTAGCAAAATATATTTCAAGTGATAAAGAAACGTTTTAGTAAGTGCATTGGTATTGGGCCATACTGTGTGAAATGTAAGGGAGAGTATTTTTGAGAACCGCATATCGCTATTTTCTTGACGTTACAATGTTGTAGAGTTTGCTCCGTGGTAAACAAAACATGTTGATTTTAAAATTAAATAACATGACTTCTATTAAATCACATGGAATGAAACTTTACACATCAACAAAATAAATATTTTAACATGTAATGATGTGCTCATTTTAAATTTCTTGAAAATAGTATAACGAAGACTGACATGGTCCGCGAACTTTCGGAACAACCCTCGTACATACAGAGGGAGATCATATATATCATAATCTCAAGTCTTAGAAACAAATATTGGTTTTAAAATATTATAGCGAATCATTTGATGTACACGTTGAAACTTCTTCAACGATAGTCTCCTTGATCAGTGTGCAAAGAGCACAACGAATAACACTACTACCATAACGAACGCACTCTTCCACCCATTCAATCACTCACTCCTTGCGAGGGGATAATAACTATTGAGTTTAAAAATTTTACTGGGAAATGAAGTGGGTTACTAAAATAATGATCGAGTACGAAAATACTGAATCTTTAGAAGAAGAAATCCTGTGGAGCCAGTAGAGCTTCTCATCAGATTTGATCACGTACCATCCCAATGCACGTATCTAGAAAGGGTTCGGAACCCCCCCCCCCCCCGGAATTTGCAGAGTTATATTTAATATATATACAAAAGCAAATAAAAAAATGATTTTGGACCCCTCCTAGAAAACATGGACCCCTGTTAAGTTGGTAGGAAAAGTTATACGTTTGAAGCTTAGGAAGTGAAGTGAATCGGCTAACAAACACCCCCACCCCCCCACCCCAACACACACATAAAATAGGTTTTTTCACGTTTGGGAAAGGACTTTACGGAAATTTTTTTTTATATTTGCTTGTCAAGAAATTTTCTGGATTGGATACGTTTGGGAAATTTTTTTTTTTTTTTTTTTTGCTTGTCAAAAAATTTCTGGGTTTAATTTGTTTGACTGGGGCGGACTCCCCCTGGAAAAAATTCCTGGATCTGCGATTGATCCCACTTCATTTAAAAAAAAAAAAAAAAAAAAAAAAAAAAAAAAAAATATATATATATATATATATATATATATATATATATATATATATATATATATATATATATATATATATATATATATATATTACATTTTGAATTCAACAGTGAAATACTGTGATTTATTAATTGAATAAAAGTGATATTCTCTCACAGCGTGAAATGATACCAAAATGATATTCTCTCACAGTGTGAAAGGATATCAAAGTAAGTAAAAAATAATTTCTGGCCTGTCATAAGATAGAGATAACTAACCATCTTGGTAGAGCTAAAACTGCAAATTTCTTCCCAAATATGTTGCTAAAATCCATGCTAAGTAATGTTTTTCAATCTCACAACTGTTAAGCTATGACGTCTCAACCGGTCTACTATGACGTCAAGCTATGACACTGTGTTAAGAGAAGACAGAGGCAAAGGGAAATCAAATTATTTGTTCTCTGTATAATATCTCATTCTGTATCTGTATCTGTGCGTCACAGAATCCCTTTGGGGCTTTAATGTGACACGGGGGGGGGGGGGGGGGGGGCTTGCTTTGCTGTTGTTCCTTACTCTACTGTCTATTATATTTGTTGTTTCATAATCTTCAAAAACTTTAGGTCTGGGGTTTCTTTTTTGTTTTGGGGGTTTCATGAATTTGTCAGGTGCTATAGCTGGTATAATAGTGGGATACTACAAACGGTGTATTTTCGAATATTTAAACATGTACCTCTAGTTAAAGGAATCTGTTAATGGACATGTAGGCCTATATGCACACAGACAATTTTCAGAGCAGTTAATTTGATGACCAAAGCTGTCCATTTTTTTTCCTGGTATTTGAAATATATTGTAGGCTAAGTGCTATCATGTCATAGGCGTCGGAAGCATATTGAAAGTGAGGGGGCTAATTGAAAGTGGGGGGGGGGGGGGCGAAACCAACAAAAAAAGGTAAGCCCCAGTTTTCAATGCCTATATTATGTCTATCTTTGCAAAAAAGTGGGGGGGGGGCTAAGCCCCCCTAGCACCCCCCCCCCGGTTCCGACGCCTATGCATGTTGTAAAATTTTGATTAAAATTTACTAGGTGGAGGTAAATGTTAAATTTACAACATGATAAAGACATGTTGTAAATTATGCATTTACCTCCACCTACTCCTAGTAAATTCAAAATTTACAACATGATAGTTCATGCACACTTTATGAGTTAGGCCTAATTTTAATGTCGGGACAATATTTGCTAAAACACATTATGATACTTTAAGTCTTTATGGTATTGAACTCTAACGTTAGATACTTCTGTCACAATGATCAAATACTAGACATACCCTTTTCCATATCACACCCTATAACAGCCTGAGACACCAATTCTTGGTTACCTTGGAAATATGTATTAAACAGTAAACCCGGAAATTCTCTAGGCTTATTTTGTTATCTCGGACTTGTCTGATCATTATTGAAAGTCGAATGTAAGATCGTAAGAGTTAATCTCATAAAAAAAGGCGGGGATTTGACACTCGAGTACCACAAATGAAATATTATATGCACTAATAACAGAATAATGCAGGTCTATGTTTTTATGATATTAATACAGATTAGTGGTCTTAACATCGTGTAAGCCTACCATATTTGGATACTGCTTTCTGGTCGTAATTAATGTACTTTTTCCACCTATAACCGTTACTTTTTCTGTCACGGTTATTCCCCCTGGCCGACATGTTGGAAGTCAATGGGTACTGATAACCATAGAACTTTAACCACGTGTGGGAGGAATATATGGGGGAAATTGTTTACAATATTGAAATGCACAGGACTTGGGAGGCAATTTTCCTAGCCTAGAGCTTTGTGCTTATTTGTAAGTGAAGTTTTGGGGTTTTTTTTTTTTCTTACTTGTCATTTTCTTTGTGACCCATGTCTTCATTTGATAAATGTGCGTGTGTTCATGTCTGTCACATGATGATCCTCAAGAAAATAAATAACTTTTTAATAAATAATTTTTTAAATTTACTTTTGTTACTGACTGTCTTCAGAAATATTATTATATATAGACTGATCAATCTCATAGATGGCTCGGCACCTCCTCACCTTCAGAGAGATTGATCGATCTGATATATTTCTGTAGAATCGGTAACAAACCTAGCTATAATAAGTAAAAGTAGTGTACTGGAGGATCCCACTGTCCACCCTATATACCATACACAGGAGAACTAATTTAAATGGATGAGAGATCTATATTCTAATCTAGCAAAAAATATATTGTTATTGAGATTGACTGGCTTAGATATTAATAGGGAGTGTTATACTATATACTAATTTATAAATACCTGATATAATATATTTACATGATATTTGAATTAATGCATGAAATCAATCTATAACACTTAGACCAGTTCCCTATGATAGATGAAAATATTTGCTTGTATAATATTATCCTTATCAATCAATTTGAAGTGTTTCATTCCTGTTCCTTTCAGATATATACCAATGGATACATTACATTTGATTCAAACTATGAAAGTCCAAATCCAGCCATTCTTGAACCAAACAACAATCCACAGAAAATGGTGGCACCATTCTGGTCAGATATTGACCTAAAAACGGACTCTAAAATCTGGTATCAGCTGTACAACAAATTTGGAACTGCAAATGTCTCAAATACATTGTCCGAAGTAAAATCAATAGTTGTGGAAAACTTCCGAGATAGCAGTGTAGCTGGATCGTTTGAGCCAAACACAGCACTTGTAGTCACTTGGGAAAATGTGGTGCAATCTCCTGCACTGAATCATGCTCTACAGGTAGCCGCCATTGTAAGCCTCAGGTTCAATATCATTATGAGACTTAATTAATAAGAGAGTTTCTTTCTCCCCCCCCCCCTTTTTGTTAAATTGCAGTGGTTAGTTATAATAATTATTTTTCTTGATCAGAATGCTACCTTTCAACTCCTGTTGACCAGTGATGGAGTGACAACCTACACGGCATATTTATTCAAAACCATGAACTTCCTGCCTCCAAAGCCAGCTATGCTGGGTTACAAGTGTGGAAATTCCCCCAGCAGCATCTTCAACCACCCAGGATCCCTCACGAATGCCATATATGACGAAGTCATCAATAGTGGTGATAATGGTATAACCTTTCTTTAGGCTGTTTCATGTTTAAGAAATTTGAATTGACAAGTTAATAAAATTTATTTGTACAGATTAGGCCAAAAAAAATAATAGTCTTGTTTCCTGCTACCTGACCTACCCTATTTTTTTGCACCCGACCCTAAAGTTTTTTTAAGTTTTGGAAGAAAAAAAAATCATGAATTTCCAGAATTTTATCGTTCTGTCACTGTAATCGGTTTCCGTGTTAACACTAAACAAGCATTTCATGAAATTCTTGTTTTAAATATGGACTTTCATAAAATACCACTTGAGTTGTGCATAAAAAGACATGAAATTTCTTTTTTAAAAGACAATATTGACCAGTGACATGTTTAATTTGGTCTTATATTAGTTCATATCCAAAAAATGCTGTCGGAAAAAAATAAAAATATAAAATAATTTTCCTACCTACCTACCCTATTTTTTTCAGGCTGGTAGCAGGAAACAAGACTATTATTTTTTGGCCTTAATTGCACAACAATAAAATGTAGAAGACAATGCTCAAGTTGCCCGGTAGAAAAAAAAAATATTTGAATTTTAATTTATTAAAGTACCTTACATTAGAAATGCTAATATTTCAAACTGTTCATTTTGTTTTGTCACGAAATTGATTTCTGATTTTGTCGAAGTTCTTATGTTTTATTACCATGATTACATTTTCAGTTATGATCCAATTTTTATTTATTTTCATATCCTTTTTAGCCAAAAATACCAAAGGATTGTGGGTTTACAAACTGGACACTTGTTCAAGTTCTGCCATAAATTACGTAGAGAGGTGCCAAAATTGGAGAATCACCACCGCGAAGACGCAGCAGGAGTTGGTTGCCCTGGCTCACTCACTGCTGGTAGCATGCCCATGTAACATCCGCCAGGTCAAGACTGATCCTCGCTTCATTGCTAGTTCTGCTGAACCAGGCTGTTATTTCAAAGTCCACTCACCTACTGGTTATTCCTTCACTAGGGTAAGACATAATAAAGATATCCATAATATGATGCAAGAGTTCATTAAACACTTTACAGTTCAAACGAAATTAAAACAAATTTTCAATCAGACTCCATGCACTCAGACAACTATTAATTGTACTTTGTGAGATTGTCGGTTTTGAATAAAGTTTATTTTATTTATGTTTATTTACATGCATGTCTTTTTACTGTAGAAATGTTGCTACAGCAGCAGCTCTGCTGAGGGGCCATTGCTGACAGGTGTGGCTGGTTCTGGCTATGTTTACCTGTATAACCCTCTTCTTTACCCTTCCCTATCCCAGAGCTACGACACTGTGCCATACAACTGGTGCTGTGTTGAGGCAGGGCTTTGTGATGTATTTTTTGCTCAAAGGACATCAGACAACTGCTTGAACTATAAATCCCCAGAAAGTGGTATGTAAAACTGAAAATGACACATTGATACACAATCTATACTTTCCATGTACCCACAACATCTCAGGTCTTTTGTTCATTATTTTTCAAGAGTTTACAAGAAAATTATAATTAATATCAGTTAACGCATGTTTGCATTAATTTCTGATTGATGACATATTTAATGTGCTTCATCATATGTTCACTGGGAGAAAGAAGATGGATAGAGGAATGCATTTATGGTAGTAATGTTTGCTCCATGCAAATATTTAATTGTTAAAATCCCCAATCTGAGAAATCTGAATAATATTTCAACCTTCAGGTTAGTGATGGGCCAATTGTCGCCGACGATCGATTGTCGGTCGTTAGGAGCTCTTCGATGCTACTAATCGATTACAAAATAAATGTCGCCGACATCGCTGACAAAAAATAATATTGTAATACTTTAATTTTATTACCAAATCCACGTGCAAAGAGTTTTAAAGTAGTGATGAATGTTTAAAATATCGAAGGTATCCTTGCCATGTTGATATTTACCGCCATGATTGATTATAGGGTCAGACTAATAACAGAAAAACAGACAATATTAAGAGGTTTACTACCATATACACAGGAAAATATTAATAGTACAGACGATCTGTAAACGTTATTAAAATCAGAAATCCACTTCAATAAAGGAAAAAATGAATAAACATATATGAATATAATTAATTAAATGATTTTTGGGGGGGAAAATCTGAACTTAAATCTGAATAAGTTTAACTTTTTTATATTTATTTCATTATGTGCAGCCGATTATTACCGATAATCGATTATGATTTTTTTCCGATTTCCCATCACTACTTCAGGTACAAGTAGATAAAGAGTAATAAGAAATTGATTTTAATTATTTTGTCTATATTTATAGGAGTGAGCTATGGAGATCCACACATTAACACTATAGATGGTCTTAAATATACATACAATGGTCTCGGTGAATACACCATGCTTGAAGTCAAAAACATTTCTAGTGGATCAATCATTTTTGAGCTGCAGTCCCGTACAACACTGGCACAAAATGAAACTGGTAGTGAAATTCATGCCACTATATTTAGTGCATTTGCTGCAAGAGAAGATAATGTCACTGCTCAAGTTGAGGTCAACCTTGAGAAAAATGGTACAGTCTTTATGGATTTGTTGATTGTGAAAGAAATGAATTAAACTTGTGTATTCTTCACAGTTAGCTCTGCATACCATTAATGTTTTTGTTGTTAAATCCTGTATTCTCTCTTTAAATTGTTTGTTAAGCAAGTATAAATTTGATTTACTTGAAAAAAGAAATAAATAGATATTGTTCTATCCTTTAATATTATTCTAAAGATAGGTAGTGTTCATTTCTGTTTTTTTTTTTTGTCAACTGAACTTGGAATGTTTTATTTTGTAGGAATAATTGTGTTTTGTAATGGGCTTGATGTCACCAATGAATTTTACAATGACACCAGTTATGAATGTTCCCAGAATAATAAGCTTCGTCTGTCCAGATCTCAAGTCAACAATCATTCAGTTCAGATTCTTTTCCCTTCAGGTTAGACAGTATAAGTACATGTATTTCTAAACTTTATTTTGTTGTGGACTTTTCTATTGGTTTATATTTTTAAATGTGAAGCGTTAATGATGAATATAATCTAAATATGTGTCATTTTTCTACTACCTTGAAATCAAAAGTGAAATCAATCATTTATTCATCATGATGCAGGTATATTTGTTAGATTTTTTTCTCCTGCTTACCAGTTAACAATGTCAAACACAAGTTATTATTTATCTTCAAAACTTAAAATCATCATTGTTTTTTATTCTGACAACATTTCCATTGCTATTCCTAAAACTTTTAACTTTTTTTCAGAAATTGCTTTAATAGTATCATTTGATGTCCTAATGTTGGATTTGAATATCCTTATTCCCAAGTCTTTATCAAACGAGACCGAAAACAGGGGACTTTTGGGAAATATTAACGGTGACCCCACAGATGACCTGACCTTGAGAAATGGTTCAGTGATGTCGAAAAGCTCCAGTGAAAAAGATATATATTACACTTTTGGAGAATCTTGTAAGCATTGCTTGAAAAAGGGCAATAACTCCTAAATGTTAAACTACTGTTCAAAACAGTATGGCATAATGCATACACATAGAACAATAAAATGTTAAACATATGCATTGTCTAATACCTTTTATGACACTAGCATAAGAAAATATTTTAAAATTGACTAACAGTTCAAAATTGTGTAATTTATATACATGCAGTTGCTTTATATAATGGATACTCAACATTCTGTAACTCTTAAGATAATTTCAGCCAAATCATTTGATTTACTCTCTTTTTAGGGCGGCTAGATAGTGCAAATTCCATATTCTCCTACAGAGCTGGAGAAAGCTGTGCGATGTTTCAAAACAACAGTTTTGTGCCACTGTTTTTCGAGGACTTTAAAGCATCATTGATTGAGAAGGCAAATGAGACATGTAAAGGAGATTCTGGCTGTCTTTATGACTATCTTGCCACCCAAAGTAAGGCTATAGCAGAGAATTCTAAGAACATCCTTGAAACCTTAGAAATGAGGCAACTACAAGCAGGTAAATATCAGCCTGGAAATCCACTGTAATGTTATTTGTTACAATGGCTCAAAATTTGGAAATTTTATCAAATCTGTCTATTAACTTGTGTTAACAGTAACTTTGTAATATTTATTATGTAACTTCCAAAATATAGTACACATTTATCAACTTGACCAAAACAGTATTTTTCATCTGAAATGTATGTGAAGCATCTGTTTATCATATGTTGTAGCTAACACAGCTCCTGAAATAAAGGGGGCCCTGCTGGTCAATGCCACAATAGGACAGTCCCTAACACTTGTAGTTGAAGCCTCTGATTCTGATGGAAACTTGATAACTGTAGTAGGTCCAGATAGTAATTCTACTGGGAAGGGCACAGCCAATATATCCTACACATACCTTCCTACCACAGCTGATCAACAAATTAGGTAATCAATGCAGATATTTAATAACTTGGTGTATGTTGTTTTATATGCATTTTAACTTATACTGTTTTGTTACAAGTTTGTTGAATATAAATTGAGTTTGCTCTTTCAGTGTTCTAAAACTGTAAATTTTATTTCAACTCTCTCTCTCTCTCTCTCTCTCTCTCTCTCTCTCTTCAATGAGTGAATTTGTTTGCTCAAGGACTTGAATGCTTTTTTTTTTTTTTTACATTACTTGATAATGATAATACATATAACTGGGGCTGTAACAGCAATCCATTATACCAGCATACTGCAGTACACAAAAAATTGTACCATATTATGGTACATACAAAAACCAGGCCTTTCAAAATCAGTCGGTACCTGATAATTTACCCAGCTGAAATCATGATTTTACCAGCCAAAATATTCAGTGGAGAAAAATTTTATAACAGTTTAATTAAAAATTGCTTCCACAAGGTACCTCCTATTTTTATAAAAGTACCACCTGGTTCTGATCTTTTTTAAAAATTAAGGAAACAGAAAAATATCACAATACATATCAAAATGCAGTCCCATCGATGTATCATGATATATCACAATACACTTTACCATATCATTGCACCTTTAGGCAAAAAAAAAAATGAGTGTTTCTGGTAACATGATGGACCCTAGCTAATTTTACCCAAAGACCTTACTACTTTTTATTCCAAAATTCAGATTTTAAACTGTCAATTTGTTTACTAGTAATGTTTCCTCATGGTACAGTCAATAAGATCATGTCTCAGACTGTAAAAATGTTTTGAAGAGTACACTTGTTGTGTATGTATATTCAATTATGTGTATGTAATACATATATGATGAAAAAACAGTGTATTGAATATTAAGTAACTATGCTTAAAAAAAAGGTAACAAGATGTGTTTGTGAAACACTGATGCCCCCGTATGGTCACTTATAGCAAAGGTTAAAAATTCTCAAAAGCTAATCAAATATGTTGGTACCCAAAATAAGGTCTTGTCTCGAGGATTATATCTGTGAAATATGAAAGCCCTAGCAACCATTGAATAGATATGGAAAAGGTTAAAGTTTTTCAAAAGTAATTCAGACATCAAGGTCAAGGTCAAATGGTCAAAATTAATAGTGCCTAATGAAAGGCCTTCTCACAAGAAATATACAGGTGAAAGATGAAAGCTGAAGCACCAATCGTTCAAAAGTTATGACAAAGGTTAAAGTGTTTCAAAAGTAGGTCAAACTCCAAGTTCAAGGTCAATGGATTACAATTGTTGGTATCCAAAGGAAGGTCTTGTCACAAGGAAAAAACATGTTAAATATTAAAGCCCTAGCAACAACTTTTCAAAAGTTGTGGCCAAGGTTAAAGTTTTTGAAAAGTAGGTCAAAGTCCGAGGTCAAAGTGTCAAAGTTGTTGGTATCCAAAGGAAGGTCTTGTCACAAGGATTATATATGTGGAGTATGAAAGCACTAGCACCAACAGTTCAAAAGTTATGGCCAAGGTTAAAGTTTTCCAAAAGTAGGTCAAACTCCAAGGTCAAGGTCAAAGGGTCAAAGTTGTTGGTATCCAAAGGAAGGTCTTGTCACAAGGATTACATATATGAAGTATGAAAGCCGTAGCATCAGCAATTTAAAAGTTATGACCAAGGTCAAGGTCAAAAGGTCAAAAATGGTGGTACCCAAAGAAAGGTCTTGTCACAAGGAATACACATGTGAAATATGACTGCCATAGCTCTAACCAATCAAAAGTTATGGGCTATGTTAAAGTTTTTGTGGACAAACAGACAGACGGACAGACAGGGCAAAAACTGTACGGGGGCATAAAAAAATATTGCCTACCTACCTTCCCAAATTTTTTTTTTTTTTTTTTTTTTTTTTTTTGCATATTACTTAAAACACACAATTTTTCATCTGGCATTACATATGATATGCTTTAGCCATATCGCTACACCCTTACATATAATGTGCCTGCTGTACATTTGTTATACCCCCCGCAAACGAAGTTTAGGGGGGGTATATTGGAATCAGCTTGTCCGTCTGTCTGTCTGTCCCATCTGTCTGTCTGTCCGTCTGTCTGTAGAGGAGATTTTGTCCGGACCATTTCTTGGAAACTGTTGCAAGGATTTGTCTGAAAATTTGTACACTTATTATTCGCCATATGAAGGTGTGCACCTGGTTTTTTCATCATGATTGGATAATTTTTTTGCATTTTACAGGTGTTTTTTTTTTCATTTTTATTATGTGGTTTTGTCCGGATCTGTTCCCAGAGACTATTGCATAGATTTGTATGAAAATTTGTTCACTTATTATTTACCATATGAAGATGTGCACCTGATATTTTCAACATTATTTGATAATTGTTCTGCATTTTACAGTTGTTGTTTTTTTTTCATTTTTATTGACTTAGTCATTTCGGGTTCATGTCTAAGGTTTGAGACATAGAATCTAGAACATCTGTACAAAAATGTGAACTACAGCTTAAAACAACTCATTAGAACTAAAAAAAGAAAATCACAAAGTATTAAAAACAGTTTTTACATTACACAGCAGATAGTGTAAATCCATTTGTCCCTTGGGAGTAATGAGTGGACATGCATCCAGTTAAAGATTAATTAATGAGTTCAGTGTGGGAAGCTGTTAGGGCATCTCTGATCAAGCAGGTCTTATCTATATCTCCTGGGAATTGGGCAGAAAGAAATAAAGATCTCTGTTGTCTAAGTCTCTTAATTGTAATTTATGTCTGTCAAAATACATAGTTACTGGAACCAGCCATTTATTTTTAAAATGAGTTTGATATAAAGGTATTAAGATCAATTTGATTTTGTATAATTAATTATGATAATTTTTTTTTCAACAATCAATTTGCAGAGTGTCATGTCTCACAAAGATGACAGATAGTTGCAAACTATTTTTTCAATGTAATAAAAAACACTGTAATTATTAGTATTGATGTTTTATTAGGCTGCACCTTAGTTTCTTTCATTAAAAAAAATATAATGAGTAATTAAATTTTCACTTTAAATGTTTAAGCAAATTGTGAACACCTCTCACATCTAGAAAACATTAGTGATTTGGTACCTTCTCTGAAAAACCCAGCGGGGGGTATTTGTCCCATTTGGACAGTTCTAGTTATAACTGAATGTCTTTACTGTAGTTTCTGGGCTGTTGACAACACTGGATCTGCATCAAACACTCTCACAGTGATTATTGTCAAATGTTCCGGCTGTTCTAGTAATGGAACCTGTGACTTCGATCACCCTAAACCAACATTAGAACCTAACCAGTTTACTGCACCATGCATCTGTGACATTGGATATGAAGGTAGGCACGCTAATTCTTCATATACATTAATTCATCTCCATAAGTTTTAAATTTCCTTTACAATATAAATACTTTTGAACAATTATCTTAACCCATCTATCAATCTATAGTAGCCCTCTGGCCTCATGGCTTGTGGAAATTTTAGTTATCACCTGTACTGGCATGCATGTGCAGTATCTCTCATGGACCATATACAGAACTCTTCTATTTTCCCTATATCAGATATTTTAGAGTTCATCTTGTGTTACAATGTAAACACCATTAATACAGGTGTGGACTGCTCAGTGGATGTGGATGGTTGTCATGACAACCCCTGTCAGCCTCCTCATATATGTACAGACAACTCCCCCACAGAACACAACAACACAGGAGTAGCCTTCCAGTGCAGTGATTGTCCAGCTGGCTACAAGTATGGCAACGAGAGGAAGTGTGTGGGTATGTCATATCTAAGGAAATTTTAAGGAAATAGTCATCTTATATACATATACAAATGTACATGTGTGGGTATATTAAAAATATTTTGATATATACATCAAATATAGATAAATTATTTGTCAACATTCATATACAGGAAAACAAGTAAAAAATAAATTCAACCTTAAAGCAAGGTGATTTTCATTCCCAGTAGTTTTAAAAATATATAATTATATATATATGAACTTACAGTGTATACCTAGGATATCGAATAATTACATGTAACTATGTATAAGTTGATTTCTTTGCTGTTGGCTATCAAGCTTCCTTGACTTTTGTAAACTTGGACTTAAACTCAAAAGTCAGTTTTTATGCACCCGCCATAAAATGGCTGGGGGCATATAGTGTTACCCTGTTCTGTCATTCTGTCATCATTGACTTTCCGTTCATTATCTCGGCAACAGTTGCACAAATTCAACTCAAATTTGACATATGGATACATTATAGGAATACGCAGGTTAAGCTCAAATTTGATCTTTATCCGATGATTTTTGACAGAGTTATCCCTCTTGAACTTAGAAAAAAAAATAAGAAATTTTCAGTTTCCACTCTCTAACTTTTGTAGGGATGTATGTATAAGGTTGAAATTGCATATGAAGGTATTTTTAGGTCACCTGAGTCACTCAGGTGACCTATTGCTATCTGTTTTTGTCCGTCGTCGTCCGTCGTGCGTTAACATTTGAACATTTTCAGCTTCTTCTCTGAAACCGCTGAACCAATTTCAGCCAATTTTTGCATATGGCATCTATGTGTGAAGGGGAACAAAATTTGTGAATTTCATGGTCCCTGCCCCCCTGGGGCCTGAGGGGTGGGGCTAAAACCACCAAAATTAATGCAATCTTTAAAAATCTTCTTCTTTACTCCTGGACATCAAGCAGTCAAACTGTTGACATGATTGTAATAAGCATTGAGCCCTCTACCAAAATTGTGAAATTCATGGCCCCAGGGTCAGGGGTTCTGGTGCTAGGGCGGGGCTATATAGATCATATAGTGAAAGTGCATTATTTCTTTGAAAATCTTCTTCTCTACTCCTGGGTATTACTGAAACAAATTGAATACATAGTTATAATAAGCAAGAGTGACTCTACCAAAATTGTGAAATTCATAGCCCCAGGGTCATTGGTTCTGGTGCTGGGGGGGGGGGGGGGGGGGGGGGCTATATAGATCATATAGTGAAAGTGCATTATTTCTTTGAAAATCTTCTTCTCTACTCCTGGGTATTATTGAAACAAATTGAATACATAGTTATGATAAGCAAGGATGACTCTACCAAAATTGTGAAATTCATAGCCCCAGGGTCAGGGGTTCTGGTGCTAGGGTGGGGCTATATAGATCATATAGTGAAAGTGCATTATTTCTTTCAAAATCTTCTTCTCTACTCCTGGGTATTATCTAAACAAATTAGATACATAGTTATGATAAGCAAGAGTGACTCTACCAAAATTGTGAAATTCATAGCCCCAGGGTCAGGGATTCTGGTGCTGGGGGGGGGGGGTATATATAGATCATATAGTGAAAGTGCATTATTTCTTTGAAAATCTTCTTCTCTACTCCTGGGTATTATTGAAACAAATGAAATACATAGTTATGATGAGCATGAGTGACTCTACCAAAATTGTGAAATTCATAGCCCCAGGGTCAGGGGTTCTGGTGCGGGGGGGGGGGGGGGGGGGGGGGTATGTAGATCATATAGTGAAAGTGCATTATTTCTTTGAAAATCTTCTTCTCTACCTCCGTGTATTATAAAAACAAATGAAATACATAGTTATGATAAGCAAGAGTGACTCTATCAAAATTGTGAAATTCATAGCCCCAGAGTCAGGGGTTCTGGTGCTGGGGGGGGAGGGGAGGGGGAGGCTATATAGATCATATAGTGAAAGTGCATTATTTCTTTGAAAATCATCTTCTCTACTCCTGGGTATTATTTAAACAAATAAAATACATAGTTATGATAAGCAAGAGTGACTCTACCAAAATTGTGAAATTCATAGCCCAGGGTCAAGGGATCTGGTGCTAGGGTGAGGGTGGGGCTATACTGATCATATAGTGAAAGTGCATTTTTCTTTGAAAATCTCCTTCTCTACTCCTGGGTATTATTTAAACAAATTAAATACATAGTTATGATGAGCATGAGTGACTCTACAAAATTGTGAAATTCATAGCTCCAGGATTAGGGGTTCTGGTGCTAGGACGGGGCTATATAGATCATATAGTGAAAGTGCATTATTTTTGAAAATCTTCTTTTCTACTCCTGGGTATGATTTAAACAGATTAAATACATAGTTATGATAAGCAAGAGTGACTCTACCAAAATTGTTAAATTCATAGCCCCAGGGTCATTGGTTCTGGTGCTGGGGGGGGGGGGGGGCTATATAGATCATATAGTGAAAGTGCATTATTTCTCTGAAAATCTTCTTCTCTACTCCTGGGTATTATTTAAACAAATGAAATACATAGTTATGATAAGCAAGAGTGACTCTACCAAAATTGTGAATTTCATGGCCCCTGGGTCAGGGGTTCTGATGTTAGGACGGGCTCTATTTATTATATAGTGAAAATGCATTAATGCTTTAAAAATCTTCTCTGCTTCTGGGTATTATTTAAACAAAGTACATTGTTATGATAAGCAAGGACGCCTCTTCCAAAATTGTGAATTTTATGGCCCCAGGGGCAGGAGTTCTGGTGCTAGGTTGGGGCTATATAGCTCCTATAGTGAAGGTGAATTATTTCTTTGAAAATCTTCTTCTCTGCCCCTGGGTACTATTTAAACAAACTAAGTACATTGTTATGATACGCAAGGATGCCTCTTCTAAAATTTTGAATTTCATGCCCCCAGGGTCAAGGGTTCTGGTGAAAAAGGGGGGGGGGGGGCTCTATTGATTATATAGTGAAAAAGCAAAATTTCTTTGAAAATATTCTTTTCTGCTTCTGGTTAAAAAGCAGAGAATCTAAGTATATAGTTATGATGAGCAAGAGTGCTTCTTCCAGAGTAGTGAATTGCATGACCCCTGGGTCAGATGTGCTGGTGTAAGGGTGGGGCTTGTTGATAATATAGTGAAAATGCATTAATTCTATTAAATAATCCTGTCTGCTCCTTAATGTTAAGCAGATACATGTAAAGAAAGTGATTACTTATGAAGAGCAAACTTCTGGTCCCAGGGTGAGAGGCTCTGGTGTTTCTCGGTGGTGAAGGAGGGGGGGGGGGGGGGCTCTATTGATAATATAGTGAATCTGTAGGAAAAATGCATTATTTCTTAAAAATCTTCTCTGCACTTGGGCATATCAGAGGCAAAAAGAGTAAAAGTTGTAATAAGGAAGGGTATTTTTACCAGATTTTTGAACATCTGGACCATTTGGTCAAGTGTTCTGGTCCTAGCCAGGGCTCAATTTGCATTCTACTGAGAGGAGTTATTCCCCTTTGCCGTTTACTTTTGATAATTAATCACTGTAAATAATGTACTTGAAAGGTTAATAGAATAAGAGAATTATGCAAGAATTTTTATTGTATAATACAAAAAGTATTTTCATAGTTTTAATGATCAGGTGGACTTGTAAGTAATAGATAAATAAAAATGAGACAAAAATAACTTGTCTTATTAAATGTTCATCAAAGACCAAGAGAGGCCAATGTAAGAGATTACAACAAGGAATTAAAATGGTATAGAAGCACTGATAGTTTGTTAATATACTTATGGTAATAGTGATAAATGGGGAACAGATTAGAACCTAATCTATGAACTGTTAATGAATACTAGACTAATTATTTTGTGGATCCTGATCACCCTATTTTTCTTGCTTTTGGGCAACAAAGCTTCACCTTTCATTTTAATACTCTATGGATCCTCTAAATTGTTGTGTTGTACTCAGGTGACCGTTAAGGCCCTTGGGCCTCTTGTTCCAGGAAATAAAGGTCAAGTTTGAATGTAGTCCTGGTCCAAAGATTTCTGACGGTTATTCCCCCTTGAACTTGGAAAAGACTTAAAAATTCATTTTTTGTAATTATTATCTTGGCTAGAAATGTGCAATTTACAATTTGCTATTTGAAATTTTGGCTGCCTGCGGGGGCATTCGTGGCTTTACAACACATCTAGTTGAATATTTTTGTTTGTGAAATTGACTAAAAGTGCTTAATGTTTTTTGATAGAAATTATCTTAAATATTCAAAAACTGCACTTATACATTTTTATTATGAAGTCTTCAAAAGAAAAAAAGAATTATGAAAACTTGAGGAATCTAAACATTGAGAATGGTAATTCTTGATGCAGTAAAATGTGGATATCTACTTTGAAAATATGTTAAAATACATGTTAATACATATACATTGTGTTACGCAAAACTTTTACCAACATTTTAATTGTGGAGTAAAGCTAACGGACTGAGTGTACAACATTTTTGCTGACAGATGTAGATGAATGTACCAATGGCAGTCAGTGCTCTGACCACCAGATTTGTACAAATGTTCTTGGATCCTTCAGCTGTAGCTGTGAGCCAGGGTACAGAACCGATGTCAATCAGAACCAGGCCTGTCTGGGTAGGTATAAATATGAAAGCATCAAACCATAGTAAGTAGTGACTCAAAAAAAAAAAAACATTTATCAAGGTCTTAAGATCCAAAATAAACTCTTGCATTTTAGGAACTTGTGAACTTTATGAACTTTTGTGAACTTTTATGAACTTGCATACTAATTGAATATGTAAATTCTGGAAAATTATGTCTGTTTGAAAAAACAGTTGACTCCAGATACAACAAGATGCTGGGGACATTGGTTTAGATCTCGTTATATCCGATATTCGTTATATTCGAAGTCTGCATTTTACAAGCTGAGAGTTGATCGGTATTTGAATAAAGACTTACATGTATTATTGAGCATGTTCCCATGTGAAATAATGTTCTTATTACATGGAAAGAGGTGTTTTTATAGACAATGTTTGAAAACAGAATAAAATAATTTCTTTTTAAATAAAACATGCACAATTGAACTTATTTATGGACATTAAATAATGAAAGACGTCTCAGGTTCACTACATGTATTTGTAACTAAGATAATCATCCCACTGCACAATTAAGATCAAGCTCAATTACACTGCAGTTCCAAATTTTGTAAACTACTAAACGTAGAATCATTGTCCATTTCAATATGCGTATTGAATTTTCTACATACATGTACCACTTCCGTGTCTGACAATTTAGTTTGCAGAATTTCTCAGTGTTTGACATCGTCAAATCTTTGTTTCAATTTTGCCAACCTCTTCATTTTATGTCACTCGCACTGTTTATTTAAAAAAAAAAATACATTGTTTTATATTGTTTTTGTTTTTAATATCTTAAAATCAATGTCGAAGAATGGGAAGGTTCGATTGAAAGCAGTATTGCTAATTTTAGCGCCACGTGCTGACCAAGTTCATTAACTCTGCCAGGTCACATACATTTGTATACAACATGTTTTCTACAATGAAATCACCAGGCCAAAACTCCAAGGCAATGTGAAGTTTTTTTTTCTAATCATGTGTTAAATGTTAATCCATAGCCATTAGTAATTTTCTTTGAATGTTTTCATACTTTGCTAATAGTTTCTACTTTTGTTCCGTAATTCGTTCTTAGAAGCCAAACTGAAGTTTTTATAGCAGTAAAAACAGCTCGCTATTATATCTCAACATCTTTAATTAATTGTCATGACGTAAAGTTGTGTACAGATACCTGTGATAACTACCATTATTTACCTGGGACTAGAAGGTCAATTATGTGCGACGCGAGTACCTCGTTATATCCGATAGTTCTTTCTACTAACAGGGACGGATTTTGACCTCATTATAAGCGGAATCTCGTTGTAAGCCATCTTTTTATATCCGACATTTTTACAAAAGAAATATATAAGAATTAATTGTGGACTCAAAATTTATCTCATTGTAAGCGGTACCTCGCTGTATCCGATCTCTTAATAGCCGGAGGCCACTGTACATGTAAATGCATTATGTGCTCAATGTATGAGTTTGAAAAAAGTTTACATTTTAATATTCCGTTATTTTAAGATGTGAATGAGTGTTATGAACAAACCAGTGGATGTCAACAACTTTGTAACAACACAGATGGAGGTTATATTTGTTACTGCAGAGAGGGGTACAGTCTGAACTCCGACAACAGAACGTGTCTGGCAGGTTAGTGAATAGAGAGGAGGAGGGAGGGTTAGATAAAAATCAGCAGTCATTCACTTCTGAAACATAAAGATGAATTAGCAATTTGAGTAATTATAGTACTTACAAGACCAGTGAAATGTAAAAGGATCAAAATTTAAATTAACAAATTACTTAAAATTTAAATGAAAAAGGTGCACATGTTGAAATAAAAACTCAAGTAGGGAGCATTTTGAATGAATATATTTATGATTTCTGGTATATTGTTTCTATTGTATTTTTCTCTGTTTTATAGATACTGTAAATCCCACTTGTTTAGCATATAATTGTTCACATTCTTGCTTGCTGGAATCTGGGTCTCCAAAATGTTACTGTGATGAAGGATATACTCTTGCACAAGATGGAAAAAACTGTAATGGTATGCATTATACATGAATTTGAAGATGCAAATTAAATGATCCTACAGAAAACACTATGACTTGAAGTAATGAATTTTATTTCTGTATCCAATGTGTTTATTGTTTCAGTTAATTATACTTAAAATATACATACATTGTAAATATTGGTGATGTATGATTTCTTTGCTGTAGATATAAATGAGTGTACAGAAGAAACCAGTAAGAAATGTCCTCAGATCTGTACCAATACAATAGGAGGCTTTTCCTGTAGCTGCCATCCCGGCTACCAACTGATGCCAGATCTGAAATCCTGCACAGGTTAATTAATTCTTCTTTTTTTTTAACAGAAGAATTTGAGCTTTTTAAAATTGATAAGATTTTTTTTCCTAAAATCTTGAAATAACTCTATAGTTTTCACTAGTTATAAAGAATTTATTTTGAGTTAGTTAAAATATTTTTATGCCCCTTTTTTTTTCAAAGGGGGCATATTGCTTTGCATGTCTGTCAGTTTGTAGACTAGCTGTTGTCTGCTCAGTATCAAGCAATGGTGTAGCAAGGAGCATTTTGATAAGAGACAAATTGCATCTCTTAAGTTATAGATATTAATGAGTTAAGAGTAAGATAACTGTCTTAATCATTTCTGTTAGAGCATCTCTGATCAATCAGGTGTATGTTATCTATATCTTTAAGGAATTGAGCAGAAGAATCTGGCCTAATTTCAGTTGATAGCATCTGTCAAGTTAAAATATTTCTTGTTGGATATCCAAAACTTTCAAAATTAATTTGGTCAAAATTAATAAAATTAATTTGATACTGCATAGTGTTTTTATTATAATTTTTTTTATCTCAACAACCAAGTTGTAGAGTGTCATGTCTCACTACGATGACAGTTTTACAGTCTAAACATATGAAAAGTGTTTTTGATGTTTTATTGGAATGTAGCATTGTTCATCATTCATAAAAAATACAGTGAACAAAGCTGTAGATGGGCATTTGGAAAACTCCAACACAACCAGTTGAGAAGTATATGATGTATTATATATTCTAATTAATTACTACACATTATTAGATGCACATCAAGCAATCATTGAAGTCTGTGTACTAAGGTTGACAGATTTTCTTCCTTTCATTCTCATCTGTTTATGTTAAACAATATTAGGCAGGGGTATCATGTGAGGTGGCAGTGCACTCTATTAGTATTGCCACATGGGGGGGGGGGGGGGGCATATGTGTGTTTCAAACATTTCTAATATTTAAATTTAGTATGTACTTAATAAATAAAGTGCATCACTTTTGTTTTATTTAATTTTGCAGCTTGTGATGCTGTTCACTGGGGTGTTAATTGTAACCAGTCATGTGATTGTACCCAGAATGCTTTATCTTGTGATCCAAAATTTGGCTGTCGCTGTAAAGAGGGATGGACAGGGACCCACTGTGAGACCAATATAAATGAGTGCCAAGATGGAGGTCCCTGTGGGGCACTGGAAAATTGTGTGGACACTCCTGGATCCTATGTTTGTCAGTGTAAAGGGGGATACCAAAGGAATGACACCTCAGGAAATTGTGAAAGTAGGTCTTCACTCAGTATACCAATACAAACATACCGATACAAACATATGTGCTAAAGCATTAAAAAAAAAAATCAGTTTCATTATAGATACTTCTGATAAGAGTAATAAAGTTTTAGTCAGAATCAAAATAATTTCATTATTGACCTGCCATCGATTAGGTTCAGGTATATGTCTGATAACTTGTATATTAATGTGAGTTAATGTTTTTGACAGACATTGATGAGTGCTCTGAGTCTCTGTATAACTGTACAGAAACCGAGGTGTGTATTGACACTCCAGGAAGTTACAGATGTGAGTGTAAATCTGGCTATCAAAGGGATGCAACTGGACAGTGCCAAGGTATTCATACACTCTTGTCAGTTTTGTCTTCATTAATACATATGGAGCATGGTATGTAAAGATTTACTGAAGAAATGAGACCTGATGTCATGTCATGTACATCATATGTATTTAATATGTCAGTTGTAGTTATTTCCACTTTAAGCGTCTTTACCAAGGTTAAGGCTTTGTTTTGCTTTTGTTTATTTGAAGAAGATTAATTAATTTAAAAGTAATTAATTTAAAAGTAAAACTGGGGGATGAAAATATATCCAGAGTTTGTCTATAAGGCTGGCCAGTAGTTTGGGGTTTTTTTGGAGGGATTCAAATCAACTTAAGAATCTATTGAAAGAGGTTGCTATATAAGTCTTTGATTGAGGATCGTTTTCTATATGCTTTTGAATTTAAAGATGTGCTTGAACATTATAAACTTACTGTAAAATCATATATTTTTGCGGGATTGAATTTGCATGGTTTGAGGAAAAATTGGTTTGAGTAGATTTGATTTCATAGTTAAAGGAGAAACACATCATATCACAGTATGAAATTGTTACATTTTGTTAAGAGATATTAAATCATGAGTGTCTTCATACCACGAACACAATGAAAATTAAATCCCATAAAAAAAGTAATTAAAATGTATGTTTATTTTCAGATGTTAATGAGTGTGAGTTACAGACAGACCAGTGTACACATCATTGTATCAACACAGAGGGAAGTTACAACTGTAAATGTAACATAGGCTATACACTACAGGATGACAGAAGAACCTGTGTCATGTGTACGTTAAAACTTGTAACGCAAAATATATGTACACTGTATAATCTTTGCTTTACCAACATGAAAGAAATGAATTTTTTCGAAGTCGGGGGGGGGGGGGGGGGGGGGGGGGCTTATGTTATACCCTCAGGATCATCATCTTAGGTTAAAGATTTTTTAATAAAAATCATGCAATTGTACACATTTCAAGAAATTTTCAAAATTTGACCAATATGGGGGCAGGAATTAACATGCCTTTACCATATGTAGTTCTTTACATGTAGGAATGAATATTGTCAGTCACTTTATAGGAAAGGAGGGTCGTATAGATAGTATTAGTAACAGTTAATCATTATTCTATGTTGATGTGTGATCATGTTGTGCTTGCTTATATGTAAACAGCTTCCAATCCCTGTGAAGGAGCCACCATTACCTGTGATAACAGTGTAGGAGGGTGTACAACAAACAGCTCCAGATCACCATACTGCTTCTGTAACCAAGGCTATCAGTTTAATCAAACATCCAGAAAATGTACAGGTATTGTACACATCTGCTAGAAATCTTATCACCATATGTCTATACATTGAAGCTGATTTTCTTTTAGTAATGGGTCTGCTTGGATCTAAGATTGGAAATTTTTTGATAATATACTAGTATTGACAAGTCTTAAGATATTCAAAATCTAATTTATGTTAAGTTTTAATACAGATTCATAAAATTAATTTTTATATAATGTGGTGGAAGGTAAATTTTGAAATGTATTAACCTGTGATGCTTTTAAATAGTAAAATTCATACATTCATTGTTATCATTATTCTAGATTGCTCAATTTGTTTAATTTCTATACACTCTGCATTATACATGTGTTTGTAGACATTGATGAATGTGCAGAGTCTATAGATAGCTGCTCAGAAGTCTGTAACAACACAGTTGGAGGATTCTTTTGTTCATGTTCCATGGGATCTGACCTCCTGGCAGATAGAAAAACCTGTCAGAGTAAGTGGACATCAGATTTAAGACTGCATAAGTCTTGTTAGAGTCATCAAACTATAAAAGTTTGAGGAACTTGATTCTTTGGTTCACAGTTGCAAATAAAAAAGTAATGGAAACAGAGATGTACTATTTCTGGTACTGAATATTTTATAGGCATTTGATTATTGTGTAGTTATATACATAATTGTACATGTACATGTATATTAAGTAGTAATTATAACTTGTATGTTCAAGTTCAATTTTTACACCAAGTTTTATATCTACCTACTATGGCATTTCAGGTTGCAACAAAACAGACAGATGGGGAAACACCTGTGAGAACCAGTGTAGCTGTGGACCGGGTGCTTTGTTTTGTGATTCTCTGATTGGCTGTGTTTGTGCTGCTGGCTGGACAGGCTCAGACTGTTCTACAGACATTAACGAGTGTTACAATGTCTCTACTAACAACTGTGGACCAAATTCAAACTGTGTAAACCGAGAACCGTCTTACATCTGTCAATGTGAGAGTGGATACACAAAAGTCTCTAACAGTCAAACAGAGTGTACAGGTAGGGTACTTGCAACTTCATTTTATAGTATTATTTTTGTTGTTTTCTCAGTAAAGAAAAAAAAGGCAATGGAATAGACACTGGTGTGGATAATTTTTCTTGTATAATAAATTAAGAGTATGCATCAATTCTAACTGGAGTGAAAACTTTTTATTTTTGAAGAAAATTGTGATTTAAAAAAGTGAAAATTATAAGGAAAATCAAAGCTTTTTGTAAATTTTGTTTTCTTGTTTTACTTGTTAATCCTAGGCCCATGATAATTGTAAGGGATTTTATTGCATTTTTTTTTTTTGGAAAATTTTATTTAAGTTTGGCAATTCAAAAAATTAAATGTAAACTTTCTGGATTAAAAAAAGGTCTGAACTTATCACTTGGCATTGATGATTTTTTGGATGATTATAATGAAATTCTTTAGATATTGATGAGTGCCAGACTAATCAGCATGACTGTTCCCAGCGCTGTCAGAATATCATTGGTAGTTTTATCTGCGCATGTAGTGATGGATTCCAACTTGAAAATGACAATAAAACATGCAAAAGTAAGAAACTCTTTATTAT